CACATCTAAGGCCTTGAAAACCTAGAGAGAACGCGTTAAGAAAATGGGGAAAGGGGAAGCATCTCTTGTTCCATCTTCACCACATTGCCTGCAGGAGGAAAGTTAAAACCAAGCAAGATAAATAGAGCTACAAATTGCAGCTGTGAAGTGACGGGAGTGAACATGGGGACTCGCAGACACACCAGCTGGCAGCTCTGCAGAGGCTTCACCTCAAGGACACAAGCTGAGGAGTAGCAGGACGCTGGTTGAAAAAGCTCTGTCAGAGATGCTTTAAACCCTGCTCCAGGACAGTCTCTGAAGTGATTACCAGCTCAACACAAACTGCTAGGAGAAATGCTAACTGCAGTTTTGCTCTTCGTTCTGATCTTTGTTAGCTGCTGTATCCCAGACACTGTCATACAACCTGTCATACATTCCACTGTGTTCCCTTCTTCAAAAACAGAGGGCTGCGCATACTGTGTTGCTTCACCATAACTTGTCTTTGCTGAATTAAATTAATTAACTTCATATCCTGAAAGTTCTTAATTGCTCCCTGCCTTCTCACAGCTCCAAAGTTAGTTTCATTTATCTCTAACAAGACCATTTGCTCCGTTTTATTCTCCTTATGTCACAAACAGCTGCTTCAGCCACCTTAGAAGAAATTTTCATATACAAAATGCAAATTCTTCTTAGAACGGCATGACCTTGAAAAAATATTAATGAATCTTATATTAGCATACCACTTCTAGAAGTAATGACTCTATGACGATTGCAAATTTAAGAGCTTATCTAGTTTCTCTTTGGTGAGCACAGAGGGACACTCTGGATCATGCCTGAATTTAATGTTAAGAACTCAAACTACTTCAAGATTTTGAGAGAAATCCTTTGTGGCTTTTGAATATGATGTATTAATGGGCACATAATGCAAATCTCAGAATGCATCATCCCTCATGTCCCTGGATTATTCAGAAATACCTCTGCACTCAATTTTCTTCCCACCTCACCTGGAACAGCAGTAACAGCCTTTTTTCAACCGCAAGATGTACAACTGCTGCTTCTCCTTTCATGAAATTAGTGACTTAAAGGAGACTATTGTACAAATGCCTCAAACTGCCAGCTGACAAACTCTAAAGTCACAGGTGGCAGGCTACATAGTAATCTGGGTTTTCATTCCATCTCTCTCCACCAATATCTTGACACAGTTCTGTCCTATTTTTTTGTCTATTCTGTGACCTTATTTGCTAAAGACTTGTATCTGGACAAGTCTGAAGATAGTGCTGGTTTATTGCTTCTAGTCTTCCATTTTCAGTTTGCTTAACATTTCCTGTAACATTAACATTCACAGAAGAACATGAAACAGGGCATTAAGAATTAGAAGGTTTAACCACAGCATTGATCAGCTTTTACAGTCTGAAATTTAAGATATAAAGCACCTAAATTCCTTCTGAAAATATTCAGTTTAGGAGAAAAAACACTCTCTCAACTCTCAACTGTATTTGCTCACAAAACAGCTAAGCAAGACATACTGCATGGATCCTAATACCTACTCAAAAGAATCTCTCAAGGTTTACAATTGGACCTCTCTATTGATGAAAAAAAATGTTTACAATATCACCACCCCAGTAAGATCTGTTGATAAATCTATACAGTACTTCAGTTGTAGAAAGTTTTGAAGTTTTCTTTTTGCATTCCAAGAGAAGCCTGACAGCAAGCCAGCACAAGCTCCCAAAGAGATGCTCTCCTTGAAAAAAATGGGTACCTGTTCTTATGCCTGTCAAACCCTTCTGTGGGGATTTCGGGTGTGCAGTGATGAGTGTACAGGTTTGCCTCATTTCCCATCATAGTAGGTGGAATACTTGGATTGTTCTAACAGAGGAGACCAAGTAGCAGCCTGTCTCTTCCAGCAAGTGGGGTATTCAGGTAGCACGTGCTGCTCTCTTGGGATTTTTGGTAAAGTTGCAATGCAGATATGTACCTTTATAAAAATGAGTCTTTGTAAACACTTCTGTTGCCAATATTATGTTGCAAATACTTCAGAAGAAACATGTTTTGTTTTTTGAGGTAGGTGTTGGCCGCACCTGTAGAGCATTTAACGTTCCAGCATTTTTTTGTTTAAATGAGCACAGTTGGAAATGTCAGTAGCCACCATGTGATGAGGTTCTGTTACGCAAGTCATCTCCCATCTTACCTGGTTACCTTTGTCTTCTGTATTCATTTTTTATTTTTATGCACCAAGGAAGAGGAGTTGATGGTTCTAGTCAGTGCTAAAAAGACATAAAAAATTATCTGGGTATCGTTGTGGTTTAACCCCAGTTGGCAATTAAGCCCCACGCAGCTGTGTCATTCGTGAAGGCTTTAACCATTTATCACTGGAGAGACTGTGAATTTGATTACAAATCAGGTTTTTAGTTCTGAGTTACCATTAAAACATTCCATTTACATGGTTGCTATTTAAATATGGTTACATGAAGCCGCAAAATAGACTTGTCAGTAAAGCAACACCCGAATTCCCCACATAATGAAGAATTTGGCTTAGAGTTAACTTGGTAGAAAAAGGCTGACTTTACAATATCCTGAATTTTGGTCTTCTTAATTTCTTAATTGCTAAAATATGTAGAACAATTAAAGACTTCAACATTTAAGTGATATTTGTTTCAAGATTTAAGTGTGCAGTGGGTTGAGCTCTATGGAATTAGGAATATATAATTTTTTACTATCTTAATTATCACAGCCATACTGAGAATCTCTATTAACTGCTTATATCTAGACACCCTTTGCAACGATAATTATAGTCTTGTGTAGTGTCATCAGGTGTACACGAGCTTGCCTACAACATTCTCAGAAGGTATAACGGAGATAAAATACTTTAGTCACCAAGATACTTGCTTCAGTGCTACCACTACTCAAGACACCCTGATGGAATGCTGCAGAAAAATGACTCTCCAACCAACCCTTCATGTGCCTTATTGACATTGGAGGTCTTCTGCAGACTTTTGTGAGTGGGCTGAGTAGCCATGGAATTTTCCAGCTCCATTTTACACAGTTTAAGTTGGAGTTCTGTTTTTGTTTTTTTTTTTTTTCCTGAGAAAGATCATGTCTACTTATTCTCCCCTGTCTGTGCATTGCTCAAAATCTCTCACTAGCTATTTTGGGAAAAAAAAAAATGTAACAAAACCAGCAGAAAACCGTCTTCTATCTTTTTTAGTCACCAGTAAGAAGAGGATATCAAGGGCTACATGCTGTACTAGTCATTCAGCGCAACTTGCCTGCCTATACCTTTCCTTCTTGTGTTTTGTAGTAGCTTTGCTGACACTGAATTACCATTTAGCCTGTGCCATGTACCTGGTACAATTGCAAGTTTTAAATTCTTCAGTAAATTTTAGCCATGGTCTGCTAATACAGAAAGTGTTGGTGATGGAATGGAAAAGATTTTTTCGGGCAAGCCAGACTGAAGAGGTTCTGCTGTTACCAGCTTAGATTTCATCCTGTGCTCAAAGCTCTTTGGGCCAAACTTTCTTCTCCATTTAGAGTTCATCCAAAGCAATACAATGTTGCTGTTGATTCACTGAAGCTGTAAATTTGGTTCAGTTAACATCACTTCAAGTCCCTTTAATTTTAATGTCAAATATTATGCTTCTAGTTAACTAGTTCTAGTTTATATATTTTATGTTACTAGATTTTTTATTTTAAAAAAAGCAAAATCTAGTTGGGTAATACTAATGATTGTTTTCCTTTTTAAGGGGAATATAGAAATTCTCTCCAAATTAAAGTATTGATTGGATGTTAACCAGCAAAAATGTTGATTTTAAAAGTACAAGATGAGGCCTTACATCCATGTTTCAATATTCAAAAGAAGCCTGAGATTATAAAAACAGACATCATCGTTGCTCTGTTCCATTCATTTTTCTGAACTGTGGAAGTCCTCCCTGAGACGCTTAGCGGTGATGTGAACTGAAAGCCTTGCTACAGTCTTAACAGCTGAGGTGTGCTGGTGGTGAGGCAGGGCTTTCATAAAACACTTCGAAGATAATACTGTTTGTAGCAAGTGCTGTTAGTCATCTGATTCTTGAACCTTGTTAATGTCAGCCTTGGCAAACAAGAGGCTGTCAGGCGTTAGCAAGCTTCACAGTATTTGGATATTGCTAGGTAGGAATGTAGAAATAAGCCTTCAAGGTTAAATTTGGTAGATAAAGGGGTGACCCAATTTAGAAGGCTGCTGATCCAGTGCAAGAAACAAGCCAAATCCCGAACGTGAAATATGAACCCTTGGAAATTGCGGGGCAATATACAAGCATCAGAGTGAAGCCTTTTGTCCTTCTGTAATTCCAGTCTGGGTGGCTTGTAGATACTGCTTCCACCTTTTAAGGCCAGGTAGGTCAGAGCACAGTCTGTTGTTTGAGACCCAACTTTTATTAGATTAAGCTGTGAGAATCAGATGTTGCCAAACCTGAACTTTTACCTTTTTTTAAGAGATTCAACTCTGCAGTTGATCCCTGCTTGAAGGACCTTTTTTTTTTTTTTTTTAAAGCACATTCTGTGAACCTGATACCACATTGAATTTGATGACTTCTTAATCTCGATTGTAATCTGAAGTCTCTGTAACTTAATTATATAGATATAACAGATACTGAGAAGTTAATAATAAACTCAGAAATCTCCTCCTTAACCAGCTGTCTTGTTAATTATGTTAACAACGTGCTGGTAAATTGCTTTGATTAAAACACGCTGGGTTTGGCTTGCCTTTTCAGGTCCAGTTCACTGTCTGTGCACATTCATTTCAGCTGTGCTCTCTGCCTTTCCAAGCACGCGGAGGAGCACACCAGGTCACCTAAAGAGGCTGCTGTGAAGCACAGGACGAGCACTGCATTGGAGCATCCCTGTATACTCCAATACTCATGGCAGCTGCTCCTGTTTAACTGGTAGGACACTTTGTGCAGCCAATTGCTGCCTGATTTTGAGTAAACTGCTTCTCGTGATAGGAAGTGCTGATTTTTTTCATCTGTTGAAGTGCAATACAAAGGCCAAATCTCCACCCATTCTGAACAGAGCATTCCTTCCACTGTACCTTATAAAAAGGTATGGTTGTGCCGAAGGAGACCAGAACACACCTTCAGCCTCCTTGAAAACATCTTGTGACCAGTTGGAAGGATGAAGCTCCTGGCACTTTGTGGCTTTTTGTTTGTCTGTCTCTTGTGCCTCAGTGCCTTTGCTGCAGAAGGTACAGTATATATTCTTCTAACACAACTTTCTCTTTTCCCGTTCTTTCCTTTTGTGATATAAAATGCTTATTCTCTAAATGGTTTTTGATTAAAGGAAACAAACAGAGCTTGACAACTGAAAAGGGGGATTGAATTTAGGAAAGGGCTTAGACTGCAGAATGTGGTTGCATATCAGTGCTTTGGTTTGTACCATAGTGTTTCCTCTGTTATTGCCTATTGCCTGTAGTATAGCACAATTAACCTTTACCTTAATCTGTGTTCCGAAACCCACTCCTGTGGAAAAAAATCCTGTTATATTTTTCCTGTAGATAACCATCTGCCAATGTAAAAATAATGTATTTTCTGAATAGTGGGAAATATGTTAATAGAAAAAGTTTCTACCCTTATGAAACAAGGGAACATGCATTAGTCAGCTCACTAGAACTGGAAGAAATAAGAAGTTTTTTATAAAACAGTGAAATAGGTGAGAGTAGCTCTTTTGACCTGCAATCTGTCTTTTTTTTCCCTTTGTTTTTTTTGTTGGTTGGGGGTTTTTTTTGCCACTGATATTCCACACTTAAATTGTATTATATTGTGGCACCTAGTTACCATTTTGCGATATTCCAAATTTAGAGAGCAGTTGAAATCTTAAGAACAGATGATTTTCCATCTTTCTGTAGCCACATTTCTGGAGATGTCATTCTGTGTTTGCAGGAGGACAGCTCAGTAGAATTTCTAAATTGAAAGGGGTAAATTCTAGAGCTACCTGTGCAGATTTGATGTTTGACGTTGTAAATCTCTCAGACCTGCTGTGATTTTTCGGTGTGTATTTTATACAAGATGTAGAGAATTAATATGAGATAAGGAAAAACAAATAAGCTAAATGTTCAAAGGTCAGGAACAGCAGACTTGTTAGGCCTGATATTTTCCACTTTATGTGGAAAAATGAGCATGGAGAAACATATAGAAGTTGTCTTTCAAATTGTTCAAGTCAGCTGCCCAGTTTTCTCATTTACTGGGGTCTGCTCTGAATGGTAGAGCTATTTGCCAGAATGGTGGTAACTGAAGTCCTTCTGCTCCCTTAGCCTTTTCTACTTCTGTTAATTCAGGTTTTCCATGCCCCTTGAGGAAAACTTAAGGGACAGTGCAAAGGAAGTTGAAGAATTTCTAGATGTGTATTCAGGACCACAACAGAACCTGTCCAGGAAGGACAGGAGAGAGAGCAATGCCAATAAAAGGCAAATGAATACTTGCAAGATCCTGTGATAACGTTCCCCTTTTGTTGATGCGCACCCTAAGGGTTTGGTGGTTCATTAAGGCAGAGGGTGGGGAGGAAGTGTACAAAGGACACTGTTCCTTATCTGTAAGTCCAGATGAGCAAGTAGAAGTACCTGGGTGTGAAAGATAAATGTATTTTTCATATAGAACTGAATTATGGTGGCAAGACACCTCAAGTCTCTTTGATGCTAGATCAACCACCATCACTAGCCATGACTGTAGAACTGTGCCACAGGGATTTCCAGAAACATTGAGCATTTGTCAGATTTTGCTGATGACGAATCATCTACCTCTATCCTTTCTGTTCCCCCTCAGCTCCAGAGTCAACCCTTCTTTTCTCTTTACTGTGCCCAGCAAATATTGTGTTAAGTGCAATCAATAGCTCAATTATTTAGGTCTAGTAGGGAGGGAATAATTAAATGGCTTTGCTCACCCAAAGCAATTTAAACTACATTCCTCTGCATCTGGACACAGAGATGCTCTTTTTTCCTCTTGGTAGTCTTTTTTATTTTCATTAAGTGATGTGACTATAAAAAGAGTGCAGAATCTTTTCCCTAGGTTGAAATGGCTGGAATTTGCTGCTTATATTGCCTGCCAATGTGATATTTCAAAGGATAAATAAATCTTGGCAAAGTGTGTGTGTACATATATAAATATATATGTGAGCAGTGATGGAAAGGAACAAATTAGTTCCTGTTCCACACTAGGGACAAAGCTATGTACAGATTTAAAGATCAGTCATGACAATCCTTTGTTTTACAGATCTCTTCATACAGGGATTTTAGTGGTAAATAAAGTAATCAAAATGTCTGTGGACTCTAACACATTTAGTATATATGTACAGTTATTTGTATTGTCTGTCTCCACTGGTAACAAATTGTTTTTCACCCTTAGGTCAGAAGGCTAGAAAAGTCTGCTGCTCAATAGTACCCAAGCGCAATAAAAAAGCTCATAAAGGTAAAAAGGTTTACAGCTTTGTTACATTAATTAATTAATCATTATAGGTAAATCACCAGCTCTTTCCATCTGCAGACTTTGCAGAATTTTCCATCCAGGTAGAATTACCTTCATTGTACCACCAAGAAATTGTTCTCTTTTCTCCTGCAACTGACTGAGTGTTTGGATTGGGAAGAAATAAGATCAGAAGAGAACCCATTTAATGCTCCCATTGTAAAGCAATCAAGAGAAATATGATCTAGTCTGATTAAAGGAGAGGAGTATCATGACATAGTTCCGCATTGATAAGAACAGAGGTTGCAAAAGTGAAGTATTATGGTGACTTTGCCCTGCTGCATTCCATCACCATCTATATATACCTGCATCCATCTTCATGTTTTTAGAGGTGAACCAAAGTGTGATTCTGTAAATTCCTAAAAATCCAATTTTTGAACCCACAGCTCTACCAGGAACAGGAATTAACTGAGAATTAATTTGTCCTAAATATGTGTGTGTAAAGACTGTCCAAGTGAAAATCCACAGTATCCCTGGTTTCAGTGAGACCCCAGTGAAAAAAAAAAAAAAAGCTAAACCATGAACAAGTCTAGGATAGAAGAATTAGGTATGCTCTTTAGAATAATAGTATCTTAAATCTTAATGCTTCTAAATTCAGCAAAAATGTCTAGCTGATAACTTTTGTTAAATTCTAAAGATACAGAATTTGATTTAAAATAGTCTATTTCCTATTTCTTATCTTTTCATCTTAAAATTACTAATTTGGAATTCCAAGCAAATTCATTCTAGCTGATAAAATACCTTAAATGCTTTATTCTTTTTGCATTTTGATAACCTAGGTGGAAATCCTTGTGTTTCTCTACAGTTTTCCATTAGCTGGTGCCTTTTCTTCCTTCCCAGTCTACCAGTGCTGAATCACGGGCTCTGTTTTACAGGCAGAGTCTCACTGGTATCAGAAGCAGTGAACACATTGCAGAGTTATTGTGGGTCAGGGGTTTATTGCTGCCTGGGGCTCCTTCTTATTTAATTGGCAGGTGTAGTACCAACTGAGGACTTCAGCTATAAAGGATCCACAATACTAGCAGGTTCCCAGTCCATCCACAAGGACTGTGGAGTGCAATGCTGGAGGCACAGAGGTGGCTCCTGACACTCCTGGCCTGAGGGGGATCACATGTGCTACCTGGTTGAACCTATACCCTTTCCACGGTACTGACACTTCATGCAATGAGCAGAGCTGTTATTTTTCAATCTGAGATACCTCATGCTATCTGACAAAAAAGCAGGTGTTTCAGGCTTCTTTACATGCAACAGGCATGAAATCTCTCTGGAAAAAGTACTTCCAAAGAGAATGTTCCACTGAAAGCAGGCTGCTGTTTGCTGTGGATAAAGTACAGTGATGCTGGTCTCATGGAGCAATGGGAAGTACTCTACTTAAGGGGAGAAAGGAGCACAAAAGAAGCACTCAGTTAAAACACGTGAATTCACCACAAAGATCTCCTACAAAGGGAATCTGAAATGCCTTTCTCTGTTGCAAACCCAATAATACTTTATGATCTTTGCATGCCCCCTGTTAGACTCTGCCGTGGTTCTCTGAGCGCTCCAACATCTTACTGTAACCTTCTCCTGTCCTTACCTGCAGCCAAGCCTTTTTTAGGTCAGGGATTGCTGTTTATTTGCTTCTTCATAGGGTGCACCTGTCTGCTGCAAATCACTTCATCAGATCTGCTTGTATGACAATCCTTGATGTGAACTGGTTTTTACTCTTACTGAGAGGCAGACGTAAAATCTTGCACCAAATGCAGCAACTGTGAAACTGCACCACTAAACAGTGTTTTGTTTCATGTGCAGTTCTGGACCTGAACTGTACAATCTTTGTATTGCTGCTCTGGGATTTCTGGGTGACTTGTGCTTCTATGTCACTGTCCTTTCCAGGAGGATGTCACTTGCTTTATTCTGTCTGCTGGCAAAGTGCATAGACTGTTTTTCAGCGCTGCTCTGCACTGTTCTTTGTGCTGGGCATGTGCCATGGGGAAGCTGCAAAGCCACTCAGAGGATAACTCAGTGTACCTTAAGGAGGGAGTCAATTTAACCATGCTGGCTACTTCTTCTGAAGTAAAACCACCAATTTCCTAGAATGCTGTTCTTCCATCAGAAATAATTACTGTCCTAGAAAGCAAATGTTTCAAGCCAATGTCAGCCTGTGGCTTCTGTCCAGGAAAGATGGAGAATGTGACGATAGTAAGGGGACGATACCGTTATATGTGTCAGTTGTGGAATTTGAGCTCTGGAGAGACAGCAGTACCATCCCTGTTTTTAGGAAGACCTCTCTGTCTGACTGTGGAAATGTCCAGCAGCAGCAGCCTAACTTTCAGTGACTGTGTATCCTCAGCAACCTAATGAAAGGAAAACAAATTGTTGTCACATTTTTATTTCAGATCACTGCTAATCTAAGTTTGCCCATACAAACTTGACTGAGCTTCAGGTATTAAAGTTTTGTGCCGTTTTCCACACTCCCAATTAAACAAATCTCTCCGTTTTCTCTCTTTTCCATCTTTGTTTTATAGGTGTAAGTTTCAAAATGACTCCAAAGAACATAAAGAAATACTGCAGGCCTTGTCCTGAGGTTCTGGTGGCTCCTGGACCCCTTCCACAGCTAAAATGAGAACACTGAGAGGAGGGGGGAAGGCATCTGCCCATCAACACATCTCACAGTGCTTCACTTGATGGAGGGCCCTCCTTTCACAGACAGCACATGAGTGTATATTCGTTTTGTTTTGGGAAAGGCTTTAGTACTGTTTATTCCTTTTTCTTGTTAATACTGACCTGGCAGCTAAAGTCAGGCAAAGTTTTCTGGCTGCCACCAGACTTTGTGCCAGTTGCATATTCCTCCACACCAAACAGGGATTTACCTCCTCAAGTACAAGGAGGAGAAGAACTGGTTGAAGAGGTGGCTAAATCGTGTTGGTTTGCATTTCTGGGTTATCTAAAAGATGGTAAAGGGCTGATGCTATTGTTTCTAGTTATGAGTGTACATGTATACTTTTTCTATGAATTATTTATGTTATATTATCAAAGGGGTTTTCTTGTATCTGGGCACATGATGATTTTTCAGCCAGCCTTTGCATGTGGTGCTTGCAATCCAGTTAGTAGTAGATTTCTACAAATGAGAAAGATCTCATCACTTAAAAAGAGCTGAGAAACTAGATAAGCAGGTTGCTAAAATAATGGTAACAGACCAGATTGAAGTAAGCTGTTCAGTACATCTTCTGAGGCTAAATCTGACTTGAAAATCAAAGTGCCTTGTTCTTTATCTTCCTATAGAGTGTCATCAGGTGGTTATTAAACAGCATACTGAAAAGGTGTTAAAGCTAAACAGATTTCATCTCTTCTTCTGAAGCCAGAAGGCAGCTGTTCTTTTAAGACACCTGAGTTGTGTGATCAACTCAATAAACAAAAGTTACTGGAGCATGAAATAAGTGCTAAGAATAATACCAAAGGGCTGAATAACAGAGAAACTGAAGCATCCTCTGACACTTCACTCATGTATCTTTTGTCCTTTCCTAACTGTTCTCTGCATATGCTGCTATTTCTCTGCCCGGGGGAGAGTCCTTAAAACAGAATTACTTGGTTGTTCATAAATTCTGTCTTCCTTCTGGTGAATATGAGGAGGAGTAGAAAGCTTTTCTGCTGCTGGGCAAATTGCAAATAGTAATTTTCCCCTCAGTACTCATAGTACTACTCTTTCTCTTAACATAATTGCCAGTATTATAGAAATGGTCTCAGTGCCCTTCACAATTTGGGGGAGTTGAATGGGAACAGTCAGAGTTCTGTTGTAACACACACAGACAAATGCAATTCCCATGGGTCAAGTTTATGGGCACTTACTCATGGTCCTGCTCTTGTTGGTGATGTTTCTATTGTACTAAGCAATTGAGCCTATTTCTGGGTCTTCTGTGAGCTTGTTATTACTTTATTTTTGTATTGGTTTTGAGATTAGATAGATCTGACACTCAGCTTCCTGTTTTTGAAGAGCTGACCATGCATAGCATTTTTATATCAACGATAAAGGAGCTGCCAGTCCTCCTCACAAGATCTCTGAATCAGGAGTTTGGAAGAAGGAACTGTTTCATTGTTCTGTTGCTGGTCATGGGGCCAACATATTTTATTTCTATAGTCTTCTATACTCGCAGAAGGATCTCTAGAATATAAATGACAAGTAAATGTAAAAGCATTTTTTGTATTAAATGTGTTTGCAGCAGGGTTTAACTCTGTCAAATATGGCTATGTGTTTACAGCTCTGTATAAAGCATTGCTAACAGGTTTGAAGCTTTTTTTTTTTTTTCTCTAATGTGAACTTAAGCCCTTCTCTTTTATATCTGAAAGTGCTGGATGATTTTTTTTCTCTCTGTCCTACACCCTCCAACCAATGTTTCACGCTCTCCAATCCTCCTTCAGGCAAAATAATCCCTCTGATAATAGAAATGTAAACTACAAAGACCATTAACACTGTTACAGAAATACTCTGGGTGTCTGCAGAGATCCCAGGACATAATTTAATGCACTTAGAGAAATACTTAAGTTACCAGACTGGCCTAGTCTTGGCTGAACAAACTAAAGCAGGAATCTCCAAATTATTTCAACATGGATTGTGACTGCTGCCCAAATGCTTTTTCATTTCATCTAGGAGATATCAGGATGTTGTGTGAAGTAGTTCCTCAGCAGAGTTTGACTCTTGTGTACCAGGCCATTTCCCCATGTGGTAGAACAGAGCTACATCTGATCATGGTTTCACTTGTAGGCATCTGTTCTTCCTTTGGTTTTCCATTCACTGCTATGCATATTTGTTTGGCATTACCGTAGGAGAAACATATTTGCTCAGTGGCTTTTCAAAGTACACAAGCTGTATGCTTATATAAAGTAGTAAATTTAGCTTATCCAAGCTGACAAATGTATTTTTTGTATCTTGTGTTTTTGCATGAATTTGGCTGTCAGGCAAGAAAATTGCACAGCCCTTAAGTTCCAATAAAGATGTTTCTGAAGTATCTCTATGCCTGCCAGAACAGATGTTGAATACTGGTCTGACCTTGTCAATTAAGTGAGCCAGGTGGCTCCTCACTTTGTTTTCAGCTTAATACCACCAGCTAACACCAAATCAATCTGTCATATTTGGCACTGTGAGTTGTCAGGAGCACAGGAGAAATGATCCCTGCTGATGGGGAATGTTGCTGTAGAGGCAGGTTTGGGGATCTCTTTTTTCCTAAGTGGGTAGTAGAAGAAATAAAAATGTGTATTCTTCATACAAAATTTGATCTGAAAAGGTGGGATGGCGGCTCTTGATGTTGGCTTTTCAGCCCTCTAGACTGGTGGGCCTGATGGAAGGGCTTGGGTATCCTCTAAAAATTCAGGATTTTTGTTCTGGAGTTGTTCTGTTTATCCGAAGTATGGACAACAGGGGCAATTTCTCGTGATTCTGTTTGCTGAGAAAAACTAAAATCCTGTTCATGGACAATGTCATCTCAAATAATAAACTCAGCTGAAATATAAAAGCAGAATGATAAATACTTCCTGTTTTAGAGATAGAGCTAACTCTTGCCCAAGCTGAGTGGAAGACTCCTGATGGCTTTCGTATTCATCAGATCAAGTCTGAAGACCTGCTGCCTGATCCTGTTTTTTGTCCAAAGTTGCTGCTAATAACTCCCTCATGAGTAGCTTTAGGAAAATATTGTCAGACAGTGGAGGCAGATCAGATGCTTATGAACTTTTTACTGAAGTTTGTTCTGAGAAGAATTTATCCAAAGCTTGGCACTTTTTCCTTTTGTAGATTGAAGGTAAGGGGAAAACCGTCTTACACATTGGCCTTTTTTTGCCTCAGATCAACCAGTTCCTATTGGATGTGAGCAATTGTTTCCACCATAGCTAATTTCTCTGAAGGACTCATTTTTTTTAATTGCTGTTGGAGAGCAAAGAGAGCTCCCTTGTGCTACATTAAATGACGTGGGCAATGGTGTTGGTTCCAATCCGTGTATGTCTGGGGTTACCAGGAGCCCTTCAGTATTATTTTGGCAGCCACTGGGTAGCCTACCTTGGTTTTGAACAGCTAACTGTCCCATCATACTATGTCTTTTGATTGTAGATCAGGGCTATTGGTACAGAAGGAATCCTCCCAAATTACTTATGTTTTCAATGTCTTAATTATGGGGGTCTCTGCCAGAAAAGTTCAGTATTTGGATATGGATTTGTTTAAGTTGTCTTCAACCTTTGTTGTGTGTTTCAGATGCACTGACTGTAAATATCTTCAAGTGGTGGGGATTTAATTCCACATTTTCAGGCTGATGCTCCACAAGGGAGCTAAGGATAGAGATTTGCTGTAGGATAAGCACCTTACACTTCCAGTGCCATCTGGTCAGCTTCTGAACATGATCAGAGAAATCAGGTCAATATGTTCCTATGAGTGATCCTCAACTGAACATGACTTGTCTGGCTTCTGCAACCTGACACAATCACAACAGTCTCTGTTCTCACAGGAAGCTGTCATAGCCAGCCTAGTTACTGCCAGAGACTCAGACTGCATCTGGGATGTTGGCTCAAGAGCTGATCCCTCCCGGCTGGCAGTACAGCACAGGTGATGATTTAAACCTGGTCTGGGAGACATTCAAGTGCAAGCATTCAAAAGTTCCATGCACACAAAAATGCCTGTTCATTAACTGCCCAATGGGCACTTGTACAATTGTTTAACTATAGTGTTGGGCACGTGCATTTGTGAGAAGTGTAGTGCAGTCATAGCAACTAATATATCTTGGCTAATAGGATGTCCTAGTGCAAAAGCTACACAGCAGCAGGTTTTCCTTCACCTGACAAGCACCATCCTTAGGTCAGTGAGGAAAAGTGGTTTTCTGCTGTCATATTGTTTAGTCTTCAGCCCTCACAGGGGGCAAAAAAATGTGTTCCTGAGGCACCACTTGGTGCTTGCCTGGTCTCTGAAAATCATGTCTCTGTAGCATGCTGTTACAATTGCCTCCCAAAACTGAAGTGCACTGGAAAATGCTGTCTTTGCTAGGTGAGTTCTCCACACAAAATTTCCTGTTTGCATTGTCCCAGAGCCCTCTGTCACAGGCAGTGCCAGTTTTGTGGCATGTTGACCAAGCAATGCTAAAATCTATTTGCATCCCAGAATTTTCCTCAAGAGATCAATATGCCTGTGAAGAAAGATGTTTTCATACAGAAAAAAGCGTGAAGAAGTCCATCTGTTTACGAATGCTATCAGAGAAAGAGTGAGATGGCTGAAAACAAGATTCTCTATGAGCTGAGATAATGCAGCAGTGTCTGAAAGTCCCTCTTTGAAGCATTCTTTTAATGGCTTTCGTGTTGTTCATTTTCCTTTCTTAGGGAGCAATAAATGATAGCAATTGTCACTGAGCTCTTATCTTGAAGTTGTTTGAATGTACCAAGGTTAAACAGTTCAGCATTTTCCTTTTACTTAGTTAAGTATATACCAATACTGCTGCTTTATTCTGCAAACATCTTCAGGTGTGTGATTAAAGAAAGGAGAGATTAAAAAAAAAATCTGAGCTGAAGATTTATCTGTCAAAGCACTATGTGTGTCATTGACCTTAACCTCATAAGCTCCACCTCTGATAGTCTTTGAAAGGAACTGCTCTTAAATTTAAGTTTAAATCGACTCAGCATCTTTGAATACAGATCCTTTAGTCTGTGAAGTTGAGCTGCTCTTCATAATTTTATTTAAAATTGTGCTTTGCACTTTTTCCTGTGCATTGAACAGAACTTTCCTCTCCCATCCTCAACATTCTTTCACTGCTTTCTTTTGTTACTAGACATGATTTTACAGATTTCCATGCCATGTCTTCCTCCTTGTCTGTTTCACTGAATAGAAAAGTAATCTTTTGTCTCTTGGCTTGATGGTCCCCCACCCGTTCTTTGTCTATGTGGGATCTTATCTCAGAGAAATTCTTCTGCTGTCTGAATTCCCTCAAGATTTTCTCATTGTGGTGAACTGCTTTATCTCCATGAATTTCCACCCATGAGTATGACTGGAGTGTCTGTTGTAAAAAA